CGGCAAACACGTAGGGAACACACATTTTCTTCCAGGGCTCTGAAGCCCCCGAAAGGTTGGCAAGGCTGGGTGCGTGGTGCACATTTTCTGGGAGAGAATTACGGGTTGGGGAACATTTCTGCAGCTTCCCAACTCCTCTGATCATCCCCTGCAKAGCCGAGCTGTTTGCTCTGTGAATCTCCAGGATCTCCAAACCCCAGCGCTGACCCCAAACCGTGCACAGCCCCAGGGAACACGGCTCCAGCTCACCCAAATTCTGAGGCAAAGGCTGGACACAAGTTTGGGACTGCTGACACCAAAAGGACCAAACCTGAGCTCACATTTCCTCTGCTCTGTCCTCACCAGCACAGGGGAGAGGAGCGGGGTTGTGCTCCTGAGCTCAGCCCCAAACAGGCTCCCCAGGGAATAGGGGAATCCTCCTCTCCCTGAGGCTGCCAGAGCTCCAGGAGCATTGGGAACACGATCCTAAGGATGCACAGAGTGGGATTTTTGGGGTGTCTGTGCAGGCCAAGAGTTTCCCTGCCTGATCCTTATGAGTCCCTTCCAACTCGGGAATATTCCACGTGAATATTCCACCTGAGCTTCTAGAGAGCAATACAACCCTACAAAATGGGTCCCAAAGCCACAGCTGGAATGCTCCTATAGGACAGTAGCTGTGCTGCCACCCTGCTGGATTCTCCTTGGTTTGGATCAGCTCATTCCAAGCCTCAGGGTTTCACAGTTTCACAGTTCCCATAGCAGGGCGTGATTTRGGTTACCTGATCCTTATGGGTCCCTTCCAACTCAGAATATTCCACCTGAGCTTCTAGAGAGCAATACAGCCCTACAAGAAGGTGGCAAACGTGGCCCAATGCCACAGCTGGAATGCTCCTATAGGACAGGAGCAGGTGTAGGACCTGCCACCCTGTTGGATTCTCCTTGGTTTGGATCAGCTTGTTCCAAGCCTCATGGTTTCACAGTTTCACAGTTCCCATAGCAGGGCAGGATTTAGGTTGCGAACACTCCTGGGACAAAGCTCCCCTGCTAAGGACAGCAGAGCGAGTTTAGGGCTGTGCTGGAGGCACAGGGAGGAAGGGAAGCAGATTCCACAGCTCCTGCCCTGGGTTTTGCCTCCATCTGCATTTCAGCACAGCCACCTATCCCAAATTTCTCCATCTTAATCATTGGCAGAGCCAAAGCTGGGAGAAATCGGACTCAGTGACAGGATTCTTGTTGCCAGGGCAAGGAAGAGCAAAGTGCCAACTATGTCTCCTCTGAACAGTTTGTCTTTTAACGAGGATGTGGAAAACATCCCTCGAGAGAGGGAACAAATCCTCTCCTCTTCCCAGCCACAGTGGGAAACCCACTGCAAATCAGAGAATCCCAGAATCACTGAGGTTGGGAAAAGCCTTCCAAACCTCCCTGGGCAGCCCATTCCAGTACCTAACCACCCTTTTCATGGAGAAACTCTCCTGATCAGGGATCTTGGATCTCAACAAACACAATACAGGGATCACAGGATACTCTGGAATGTCAGCTTTTCCTGCCTCTCCAGCAGCTTTCTGCTCCAGGCACTGGAGTTGGGCAGGATCATCCCAGGGAAATGCAGGATGACAGCAGAGAGTTTTCAGTGAGAGCTTTAAGGAGCAGAACTGAGCACCCCTGAAACCATATTTCATTCACACCACTTTTTTTTTTTTAACAACTGGGTTTCGTGAGCCAGTTGCAACAACCACAAACTCTTTGAGGGGGAGGCTTTTTCCCTGTGATATCAGAATTTCCATGGAAAGAGGGGCTGGTTTACAGATCCTGTGATGGTGGTGACAGGAGGAGGGTGAAGAAGGGGGGGCTGAGAAAGGAGGAAATGTGTGAGGCAGTGATGACAAACACTGACAAAAAAAGGACTGACCCCTGGCTCTGATCAGCTGTGACAGAAAGTGTGACTGGAATTCAGGTTCTGCACAAATTGTAATTATTATAATTAAATACCCACATCTCCCCTGTCAGCCAAAGGAATGGGGTTCAGGGGGACTGGAACACAGGAAAATAAGATGAAAAATCACTGATTGTCATTTTTATCCAAATAACTTCCTACACCATTTTTTTTCTATTTATTTCTCCTAAAATAACCTTCCTCCCTAACCTTTACAAGTTTGTTTCCCCTCGAGTGAGAACAGCATCCTCAAAGCAGCAGCAAACAGGTAAAAATCCTCCTTTCCTGAGCCTTCTGCTGACCCGAACTRTGCAAACTGCCTGAAGCTTTCCTCSAGGCCATGGATATAGGGGGAGTTCACAGAGCTCATCAATTTTGTGCTGGAGATGCGATTCAAGGAGAGGTTCACAGTTCTGCTCCCTGGGGGCCAGGYTGCTTTATCTCCGACACCACCGTTCCGTTCTCTCGCTGCGTGCTCTGATGTCGGGCAAAACCACGCAGATAAAACAGATTAAATGCTCTGTTTTTCTCTTTTCTCCCCCKCCACAGATCTCACGACTGTTAAACACCGCTTGACCTCGACCCCGCCGCTTGTAAGAGAAGCCGTGAGCCCCTCGTTATCTCGTAGCTCCCTGGTTTGCCCCGTCCGTGCTGCCTGGAAACATCAATTGTGCCACCGTGAGAAACGGGTCAGAGCACCCAGCCGCCCCCGGGAAAAGGCGCAGAGCTCGCACAGGGACCTGGAGGAGGGTCAGAAGGGATCCAGAAGGATCAGCACCGGTGGCAGAGCAGTTCCAGCCCGGCTGGGAGCATCCCGGGTACAGGAGATGGCGCTGAGGCTTTCCCTCTCCTGCACCAGGGATGCTCGCAGGCTGTTCCAGGGGTTTGTTRATTGGGAGGGATTTTCACTGTTCCCAGTTAACCCTGGGCTGGGTTCTGTGCTGCTGAGGGGTTGGTTTTGCCTTGAGGTCGCTGCCTCTCGGCCCTTCCACAGGAAGGAGCCTTCCCAGAACGGCAGGAAAATCCCACAAAAAGAAAAAAAATCTGCCTCTCCTTCGCTTCTTTGCTGCTGCGAGGGTCCCAAGAGGGAGCCCACCCCTCTGCCTTCGCTGCGGGTTCCAYAATGAGGCTAAAACCCGTTAATTCCGTCCCTGCCAGGGGTGTGAGCAGAGGAGCGCTCGGGAAGGATTGGGATCGGGATGGGGATGGGGATGGGGAGCGCGGCCGCCGGGTGCCACCTGCCGGGATCGCAGCGCTGCTTCCCCGCTCCCGACGGGAAAATGGTCCCTGCTCCTGTCCCCAGCCCTGTCCCCGACCCGCAACCGCCTTGGGGGACCGGGACGGGAGCCAGGAACGGCCGGAGCTGGGCCAGGGAGGGTCAGGTTTGGAGCAGGGAAAGGCTCTGGGCACCTCAGAGGGTGCTGGCACTGCCCAGGCTCCCCAGGGAATGGTCCCGGCCCCGAGGCTGCACAGGGGGGATTGTTGGGGGGTCTGGGCAGGGACAGAGCTCGGTCCATGATCCCTGTGGGTCCCTTCCAGCTCAGGACATTCCGTGATTCCCCTGCTCSCCAGAACAACCAGGGCCACGTGCCCTAAAAGCCGCCGAACGAGGAGCTGCAGGCTCCTGACAGATTTCTGTTTCACAAAACGCGTTCCCGTGCTSGTCCCACGCAGTGTCCCAAGTGTCCTGTCATTGCTGTCACACGTGTGGCATCAGCTCGGGGCTCCAACATCCATCTAGTGACACACGCACACACATCCCCGCGGCTCCCACCGGGCAGGGCAATTCCACAATTCCAGGAATGCTTTCCTGCCCGGGGTTATCTCCCCGTGTCACAAGGGCTGGGGACAAAATGCCAGCAGCTGGCGGCAGRAATGCCATTCCAGGGATGTTTCTGAGCGCCTGGATGAGGCGTGGGGGGTTCACAGCCGACCCGAGAGAGCCGGCACCGGGCAGGGACAGTGACCAGGCAGAGGGACGGGTTCTGTGCTGCAGCAGGAGCTCGTGTGTCTGCAGAAAGAGAGGAGAGGCTGCGCCTGTGCAGAGCATCCCTGTGCAGGGCGAATCGTCCTCAAGAGAATGGGGCCAGAATTCTCAGTGGTACCCATGGAAAAGCGAGAGGATGAGGAGCAAAGGCCATAAACTAAAACACAAAATGTTCCACCTCCTCTTCTTTCCGTGGAAAGTGCAGAGCTCTGGATCAGCTGCCCAGGGAGGTGTGAAATTTTCCCCTCTGGAGCCATTCTAAATCCACCTGGATGTGTCCCTGTGTCACAGACTTGGGGTTTGGACAGGATGATTTCCAGAGGTTCCTTCCACCCCCACCTATTTTGGGATTCTGTGGTTACATTCGTGCACTGCTTTCCCTACTGGGAATATTCTAATGAGCCAATTACTGCACACAACATCACGGGAAAGGCAACAAAACCAACGTGTAGAATTTGTGCCCTGCAGGTCCCAGGTGCCACCACTGTCCCCGTTCAGGAACTGTGTGCAGGAGGAGTCTGGCACAGCCCTTCCTTTGTGTRGCAGATGGAAACCGGGTCCCGATGGAAATACAGGATGATCCCGCACAGATAGGTATTTTTTTCTGAATTTGCATGAGCGCTGCGCTCCCTACGGCTCAGAAGAACAGACTGAAGTCACAACCTGGCTGATAACCTGGCTGGTACCCTGCTGGGAGAGGGGTGCCAGGCTMACCGGGATGCTGAGCATCCTGCCACACATCCGGAGCATCCTCCGGGCCCTCTGCCCGGCTGAGCGTGCCCCGAGAGGACACGGGGGCCCTGTGACCGCCCCGGCCGGGTGATCCCCGCACTCCCATTCCCACCGCCCCAACAGCCCCCGGTGGAACCGGGAGGACCCCAACAGCCCYCTGAACTACAACTCCCAAGATGCACCGCGAACACGCCGTGCCCGCCGTTCCGCAGCCCTGCGGCGCCGCGCCGCGGTGCATACTGGGATTTGTAGTTCTCCGCAGCACTCTGCCTATAGCGCCTCTCCCGTGGAGAACTCGCCTTCCCGTGACGCCCCGCGCCGCGGTGACGCAATCGGTGCTCGCCGGCGTTGGCGCGGAGGCCGCGGGCGATGTCGGAGAGCGGCGGTGGCGGCGGGGCCGCGGCGGGCGGGGGCGGCGGGGGCGGCGCGGGGGCTGCGGGCTCCGGACCCACCGACCCCGCCTCGCTGCCGCCCGGGGACCCGCAGCTCATCGCCATCATCGTGGAGCAGCTCAAGAGCCGCGGCCTCTTCGACGGCTTCCGCCGCGACTGCCTGGCCGACGTGGACACCAAGGTACCGGGGCCGGGCACCGAGCCCGGGGCGCTCCCCGCTCCCCGCCGGGTTCCGTGGCTGTGGGGCTGCTCCCGGGAGATCCTTGGAGCCACAGCCACACCCCCGGGCAGGAACGGGCAGAGAACGGGCTCAGCCTTGCATTTCCCAGCCCGGGCTTTACTGGGAGAACAGCTTCCCATGAGAACAGTGCTGCGCTCAGCCTATATATCAAATATTTCCACATGATCAAACATTCTCCTATTCTCAAATCAAATCGTTAACCTTTGTTTCTTGAGGAGATGTTGTCAGACTGTCATTTGACATTTATTGTTTCTCAGCCACAACAAACTCATCATCATTTGTAGTCAGTATTGAAGCTGGGCTGTCAGTGCCCACTTGGGCTGTTCGCAGTTGCTCTGGCAGAATTAAACGTTTTTTGTTTTTCCCAAAATTTAATKCTTCCAACAAGAGCCCTGTCCTGGGATCTGTCATCCTCATCCAGGGCCAAAAACATTCCCAAAGCTGTTGGATCGCCTGCAGCTCCCTCAGTGCTGCCCAGGACAGACACCACGACACATCAAACTCTGAAATGTCCCTGTCACCCTYTTGTCTTTCCCTTGCATCCAGGATGTCGATGGTCCTGGCTGTTTCTATGAATTTGTTAGTTAAATTCCTGTTGAAGGGAGTTAATTTTTTTTCTGATAAAACTCAAATAATTATAATTATTTTTGTATTTTTTTATACTTCTTTGCTAATGCCACAGAAGCAAATAATTCAAGTTCTTAGTGAGAATATTACTCAGCCAATTTCCTAGGAATTCTGAGGTGGAGGGTTTCCAGACAACAAGAACTCTTCTTAAACAACTCCTGTCTGCACAGTTTGCATTTCACTGCAATTTCAACCCCAATCTGTCCAGCTATTTAAATTATTACAACATACTGGGTGTTCTGTGCGATTTCCAGTTGTGTTCTCAGGGAAAACAGGATTATCTTTGTTCAGAGAGTGAAAGGAGGGAAACACAGACAACAGAGCAGTCTGTGTGTGACAATAGATGCACTGTGAAGGRCTCTGGCAGGGGGTTGTTTGCAGATACTTGAGCTGGATTTATATTTATTTATTTTTTTTTTTTAGCCAGCCTATCAGAATTTGAGGCAGAAAGTCGACAACTTTGTCTCGACCCACCTGGACAAGCAGGAATGGAACCCAGCCATGAACAAGAACCAGTTACGGAAYGGGCTGAGGCAGAGTGTGATTCAGTAAGTGAGCAGCAGCCTGTGCAGTAAATTGTGATATTTGAGAAGCCAACAATCACCTAAAGCAAAGGAGAATTGGCAGAACTGAGTTTTTCTGTTGTGCTCCCTGAGTTTCAKTGTRAGAGTGGGGCAGTCTGAACTCTCCYCAAAATGCWCATTATTGCTCTACCTGAAATGGGTATTTTTGAGTGGTGAAGTGTTCACATTTGCTGTCCAAATTATTGCTGTGCCTGCTGTACTGAGCTGGATGGGTTTGATCTTTATCTTCAGCAAATAGAAGACCCTTTAAAGGCCTTTAAAGATCCTTTTGAGAGAGTTCTGAGGATGCCAAAGGTTCTGTGTGTGCAACTCCAGCCCGTGTCAGCAGCGATCACTGCAGCAGCCTGAGCTCCTGCAGCACAGGACAGTTCCTGTCCAGCTGTTCCAGATACTGCCCTGGGGATCACTGGGATTGTCACAGGGATGGAGCAGCTCTGCTGGGAGGAAAGGCTGGGAGAGCTGGGATTGTTCAGCTGGAGAGGAGAAGCTTTGGGATGACCAAAAGTGCCTGAATGAGCCAACAAGACAGAGAGAGACTTTTTATAAGGGCCTGGAGTGACAGGACAGGGGGAAACAGCTTCAAATTAATGGAGAGCATGGTTAGATTGGATATTGGGAATAAATCCTTCCCTGAGAGGGAGGGGAGGCCCTGGCACAKGGTGCCCAGAGAAGCTGTGGCTGCCCCTGGATCCCTGGCAGTGCCCAAGGCCAGGCTGGACGGGGCTTGGAGCACCCTGGGACAGTGGAAGATGTCCCTGCCAATGGCATTGGATGATATTTAAGGTCCGTTCCAACCCCATCCATTCTGGGATTCTGACACTGCTTCAGAGCTGCTGAATTTTAATCAGGCACCCAAAATGTCGCAGTGTAAAGAACAGCCCCAGTCMTGGGGAGTTTGAAGAGTCCCTGTTTGTCCTGGAGTGGCAGGGCTGAGCCCTGGGGKTGCCCAGGTGTGTGTCACACCCACCCAGGGTGCTGTTACCTGGAGGTGCCACGAGGTGCCTGTGCCTGCACCCTTCCCAGCCTCATTATCCCTGGCTCCTTCTCCCATTTCCTGTCCCTGCTCCTTTGCAGACATGACTTAAGCCTCGCAGACAGCCTGTGCCCTGCAATCCAGGAGCCTGACACAGCTCCTGAAGTCATCAGTCACTTCAATTCCTGGTGCTCAGTCCAGAAACCCTGCTGTGTGCTCAGTGCCTTGTTTTTATAATTCATACCCATCTGTCTAGACTGCTACAAGGAGCAAGTGACAGTCCTGCTTTTTGGGGCAGGGCTCTTTTTCCCCCACTCAGCCAAAAAAAWCAAAACCCTGTGCTCTCACCTGCCCTCCTCCTCAGAATAGTTTGTTTCTCTTTTTGTGCCAAAATATATTTGTGCCAAAATGTGTTTGTTTGCTTTCATGTTGACCTGGTTTCCACAGGAGCCCTATTAAAAGTGGCCCTTGGCCAAGGTGTCATTTAAGTACCTGGGAGAGCAGATGGGAGTTGTTAATTCTGTAGGGAGCAGGGAGAGAAATAGGGGGTTGAAACAAGTCCCTGTTAAGGATCTCCTGAGTAGGCTGCAGTTCTCACCATGTTAATGCTAATTGCAGTTGACAGGAGGGCTCTGGAGAGTTGCTGGAGGAGATTGGGGAGAAGTTTTTCAGAGGAGCTGAATGACTTCTTTGTCTTTGTTCAAGGTCAGGAATGCTGGAAGCTGGAGTGGACAGAATTATTTCTCAGGTGGTGGATCCAAAACTAAACCACATCTTCAGGCCCCAGATAGAGAGGGCGATTCATGAATTTTTGGCTGCACAAAAGAAAGAGGAAAATGTGCCAGCTCCTCCTCCAGAGCCTGAGAATAAGGATCCTCCTGCTCCATCTCAGGACGCCTCCTAAAGGTYTGCTATCTGTGCACTTAGTGCTGATATTCTCGGTGTGCTCATCTCTGTATTTGTATCACTCAGGATAGAGAGGCTGACCCTGCCTGGMAGGGCASGGGGGACACTTTGATCAGCAGCCTGTTGTCATTGTCACACACCCTCTGAGCTGCTGCCACTCCAGAGGCTGCTAAAAATAACTGCRACTGAGGCACGGGGATGATGTAAATCAGCTATCAAGGAACACTGTGCACTCTGCCAGTGCTGGGTTTGGATCAGGCCAAAAGGCCTTTTATTCCAGTAAAGAACATCCAAAAAAAAAATCAACTCATATCTAACAGCATTGACATGGAAGTGGCTGGATAAACTTCAGAACTGTATCAAATGGATGAAAAATATGTCATTCAGTGAAACACTGATGAGAACAGAGTGGTGACAAGTTACTGTGGTTTAGCATTGAAAGTTTTCAATATCTCTGCTTTAGAACAACCACTGGAGTGTGGAATTGTCACTGACCAAAACAGTCCCACTGGAGTAAAGGCAGTATTTCTGGGAGTGAAAAGCTGTTTGCTCCAAATGAACTGGTTTAAACAGATCTTTAACCCGGATCTTCAGCTGCAGGAACTCAGGGTGCCCTTGTGGCAAACAAGTTCATTCTGGCTTTTGTGATTAAAATAACTCCAGGGGCCTCAGGGGGCCATAACTGTCCTGGCACAAGATGTGCCCATCTTTGCTCAGGCCCTGATCTAAAGGTTGATTTGGATATCGAAGAGCCACTGCCTTGATGGGAAATTTCAATCTGCAGCTTTGCTGGGGAATTTAAAACCATGCTGCATGAAAGAAGTTAATTGTCAGTTGTTCCATCTGCCAGAGCTTTCTGAAAGTAAAAATACTCCATATAATCTACAGCTGATTTATTAGGAAGGAATAAGAACCTACAATAGCTGTTCTAATGCTTGGAATTATWAGAGCAACCAGCAGGAGTTTTAGCTTGATAGTAGAAGTTTAAGTGCCTGTAGTATCATCCTGAGTTATTTAYTTGTGACTTGCAGCTTTAATGCCTTTAATTTTTGCATTTGTCTGGTTCGAGTAGTTTAAAAGTCCATTATAACCCACAGCAAATGMAGCTGTTAATATATCCTAATCTCTCCTAATGCACTGACTTGTGAAGGTACTTTTACATCCTCTAAATTCTCTTTTTTTTCCCCTTGCAGGGAGATCCTGCTGCTGAGCAGCTGCAGTTCAATGTCCTGTTAGCTTGGCAATGGATTCCTTGTTCCCTTCGGTGCAGGATTTGCTGCCTGCCAAAGATTTGATGAACCTTTGTAGGGCCTGTGGGAAATAGGCACTGAAATGGTGAAATTCAGGTGCACCTGGAGTTGTGCCCAGTTGTGCACTGCCCAAGTGGGGAGAGGTTTTTGCTGTGAACTGCAGGGAGCAGCATGTATTTATTAGTCATGCCTTGGGGCAAGGGGGTGGGAAGGAAAAGGGAGTTATGTGGTGTCTGGAGGGAGCAGGGAAATGGTTGGAGATGATACAAGGAGCACAAAGAAATGAGAGAGGGTTTGGGGGTGGGGAATTCACTTGGAGACCAAGCAGAGCTGTCAGATTTCCTTTGATGGAAGCCAGAGAGAGGAAGCCTCRTGCACCTTTGGGGGGTAGGAGGTGCTGAATCAGGTGTAACTCACTGCACTGCCTGCTTTAGGAAGGGCATTTCCTGTTCAAAACTGGAGATGAGGCTTCAGGATCAATTATCCAGATAAATTTTGTCCCATCACAGGAACACGTTTACAGTTGGCTATGCCTATAGCTGATGTCACTCCTCATTCCCAGGGAAATCTGGGAAGCAAAGGGCACACCAAACTAAGGGATCAGGTGGACATTTGTCCCTTTCAGCTTGGAAGACTTTTCTTTCTCAGGTGCTTGGTGGAAACTGTCTTATGCTTTCAGCTTGAATGCATGCAGTGTCCTCTGGATGACAGTCAAATGGAGAATGTGATCAACTATTCTGCCAGCAAATATCCACACCTTTTTGCAATAAAACAGCTCAAAAAGCATYTCTTGAGGCCTGGCTTTTTTGAGAATTTTTTTATCTTAAGGGGAATTGACATGGAGAAATCCAGGAGTCCCAATGGCTGGAATTGTAATGAAGGTGTGATTTTACATAGTTTCTGGATTAATCCAGATTTAACCAGCTGAGGTTGTTTCTTATCATGAATTAAGATGGTTATTAATACTCCTTTCCACATAAGGTATCTCAAAAAATGTAAAATACTGTGAGGATTGTGTGAGTGAAGGGCTCTCTCCTGGATATTGGTTTGGGTGTTAAAGACTGCTCCAAACCAGTAATAAACGTTTTCCCTTAGAGCCTTAAGGGCATCTCTTGGCTGAGAAGGATTTTTTTACTTCCTGGTGGGGTTCTGAACCAGTTCTTTGGTGGTTCAAATAGAGCCATTTATTCAGGGGGAGAAATAAATGTTCAAGAGTGTAGAAAGAGCAAAAGAAAAGGATTCTGATTTTGCTTAGGCATATTCTGGATTATATTAGGAGCACTCAGGGAACAGGGACACCAGCTCAGATTTTTTGTAGCAAATCAAGCTGGATTTACTGCAGTGAGGAGGGAACCTGAACCTGCATTTCCTACCTGACAGCTGCTTTAAAAGATGAGTGAAGGAGAACAGACAGAGCCAGGGTAGTTTTTAAAAAGCTTTTCCATTGTTCTCTGTGTTAAACTCTGGCAGTGCTGTGCCTTTGGTGGGGCTCCAGTGGCTCTGGGAACCTGCAGATCACAACTGAAGCACCTGAAGAGCTGGGGCAGCCAGTTTGGAATCATGGGCTTTAATGTTTGGCCTCTGAAGTTTTGCTTTGGATCAGWGCCTTAGAAGCACCCATGACATAAAGGGACAGTGACAAAAGCCACCAARTCCTTGTGATGAAGGACTTGTGCAGTGCCCTTTGATTAAATTCTATCACCACAGCCAGGAGCAGAATTCCAGCTTTAAAACCTCAGTGCTCAAACAGAAATCTTCACACCAGAACAAAAGAACAAAGCTGTACCCACTGCAGAAGTGAAACTGTTCCTGCAGCAGGATGGTGGACTAAAACTGAATGACTGAGTCAGGTTTTGCTGWGCTGGGTGTGTTAAACACAGCCTGAAGAGTTTGGGGAGGCACAGAGGCCTCAGACTCGAGGAGTTCAAGGGCTCACACTGAACTGAGATGGCTGCACAAGCAGCACTTGYAGCACTTCCCTTCTTTTCCCACTGTCTTTGTTCCCGTCTTCCCATCAAACCTGAGCCTGCAGCCTTAAAACAGTTCTGATCTCTGCCTTTGACAATGCTGTCATGTTAGAGAAACAGAGCAGAATTCCATTGCCTTTCCCCCATTATTCCTGAGAAATGTACRTGTAATGCAGATCAAACACACAAAGCAATCAATTTTTACACACATACATATTTTAGCCCAAGATAAACCTAATTACAAATACTGAACAGGAGCTAAGTGGTGAATTATGTGTTTATAACACATTCTTSAGGTAAAACTGATTCTTGCTATAAATTAATAGGCATTTTCTGAATTTTTTTTTACTTCTTATGCAAATCTTACATAAAATAAAGGGATTATTGCTGCAGCACTTGATATGTAACTGTTCTGTGATAACAACTCCAGAGATGCTTTTCAACAAAACCTGCAGCAGATTAACAATAGAACCAGGCAGAAAACAGCTTCTGATTGTCTTATCAAGACCACAGTTCCACCTGAGTGGATTTTGGATTCCTCAACCCCCCTTGGAGCTGCAAAGAAAGTTTTCGAGCAGGTCACACTGACTGGAGCAGAGTTCCCCAAAAGGAGCAGAATCAAACTGCCATTATCTGTGTGATCCTTCCAACCCACGCCATTCTAAGATTCCATTATTATATATTTGGCCAGTTCTCCGTTCAAACAGAGGACTGGAGCAGTTTAACCCTTTCACAGGTATTTTGTGGTTTATATTGCAGTGTTTTACCATTTTCCCCTAAGACAGCTCAGGTTAATTCTCCTTCCCTCCCTCCCAAGCGTGGCTGTTCAGAATTCAGCCGTAAGAGGGAGATCAACTCTTGCTTCATTTCTCCATTCCCTGCGAACCCCAGCAGATGCAGGACTCTTTTGCTGACTCCTGAGTGAATCAGCTCAGCGAGGTGTGGAGCTTTCCCAGAGCTTTTCCGTGAGCTCTGACCGTACTTGGCCAACACAAATCGTGCAGCAGACAGCAGCATTTCTCAAGAGGTTTAGCAATAGGAGACAAATATCAGGATTGGGGCAGAGAAATGAACAGCCCAAATGAGCAGGGACAAAATCACAGCTTCAGGATGTGAGGCTGTAAATCCTGAGCTGCCCAAATCTGTAATTTAGTGCTGAGGCTGAAGCAGCCCCGGCTGGTTGTGCCATGAGATCGTATCAGAATATTTGCTGCAGTTCTTGCATTTTTCTGATTCAAATGCTGAGCCCACAAGAGAGCAGAGTTGTGGGCTCAGCTTCAGGAGCATGACTGGGCAGTGAGTGRCCAGCCCAGTCTAGACACCATCCAAGCCATGCACAGAGAAATGTGCTACCTCAGCCATYGGCCTGGGAGTGCCTCCAGCAATCCCCTCCAGCGCTGGGACAAACTGGGCAAAAGCAAAATGCAACAAGTCCAACGCACCTGAGCGGGCTAAAGGACCTCATCTTCCACCAATTCCATCTCCCTGACTCACAGAATTCACTGCCTTTTGCATTGGTGGCTTTATAACAGGTTCACTCAAAAAAAAAAAAAAGGGAAAAAAAATCCCCAAAACACTTTAGGTATTGGCCCTACAAAGAATTCACATAGGACAGGTGGCTGCACTTTGCTGAATTAGGGCCTTTGGGAATTCCAAGCAACTTTATACATTAAATGTACCCATTTTGGAAGGGATTTGTAACAGAAATAGAAAACCATTACCATGAGTCTCATATTTCATTGCGACTCTGCAAAAGGGAGATAAAACAATYGCAATTCCGAAACGTTCCTAAAATTTCACATTTTCTACAAGGGGGCAGCACAACCGCAGCAAAAAAAAGRAAACCCAGTGGGAACTCTTCCCCCACAGCCCTCCCTGTGAGACAGCAGGACATTAAACACGCCCCTCTAACAGCATTCACCTCCAGCAGCTCCTCCTGCCAGCATTTAGTCCTTCCTTCAGGTAGTTCTGTCCAACTTCTGCCATCCCAGTAAAACCAGGASTGCTTTGAGCATGAAAAAAAGCTCCGGGTATCACCAACACCAGCCTGAGCTCCACACCTTCACTCCCAACCATGATACCGATATAAATCCTTGCCAAAGCACCCCACCAGCACAAGACCTTTCAAGAAATCCCAAATAACGTCCAATTCAGCCTTTCCTTGCTCCGGAGAGCTCTGGCACGCTCTGAGMTCTCCCTGTGGCTCAGCCCCAGCTGCAGGGGCTCAGAGATCCCACCTAACCCTGTGCYTTCCCTCCCCACCCCAAAACCCTCCCAGGAAAAAAGCTGAGCTGTTTTACCAGCAAAAGGGGATGACTGATTATCTCCAACCCTGCCCAAATCTCTGTTTCCTACAGAAGACCCTGGATGTTGCCATAATTGCACCCAAAGCCCATCTTCCCCAAAATGTCACGGAAAAGGGGGATTTGGCAGCTGCTGGCCCCACAGGTGATAGCTGACATTGCTCCCAAAAATCCCACCCAGAAATCCCCCAGGGGTGTCACGGAGGGCTGGGGGGTGTCCAGCAGTGGTTTATGATGGAACAGATTCCCTTTTTAACCGGGACTCATCGCAGCACACCGGGCAGGCACAGGGGCAGCCGGGCCATGGCTCCATCTCCTGCAGATTGAACCAATCCCTCCCAGCCCCGGGGAGCCCCAGGGGTCTGGAGGGCAGGGCAGGGGTTGCTGTGACATCTGCACAATCCTGTGAGCCCACCCTGAGATCCCCCAGCCCCACCGCCACTGCCGACGTGCAGAGCAGCTCACGGGAGGGGTTGAGTCAAAGAGATAAACCCAGGCAGGATTTGAGATACAACACTGCTGGGTTTGGGGTTTTTGTGGTGGGTAAAATCACTGTTTTCAGATCAAAGCCAACCTCCATCCTGTTATTTTGTCATTTGGCACCACGCTCATTGTGGGGCTAAAGAGGGAAATGGGTTTGGTCACCCCAAAACACAGCTTGCCCCACAGGCTGCTGGGCTTTTTGGGTGGGATGTAAAACATTTATCTGGCCATGAGACTCGCTGGATCTCCAAAGAAGTTTTCTGTGCTTTGGGAAAGCAGTTTCCTTCACACAGAACAGAAGAAAAAGGTGAAGTTTGGTGGGCGAACTTCACCCCAGTCCCTGGCAGTTAAACCATTTTTATAGTTTTTGTATCCAGGCAGGGTTTGCTCTCAGGGATGTGCAGACCCCAGGGACGTCTCCCTTTTCCCCCAAAGCCTCMTGGCCCTGCAGAGCTGCCTGAAGTGATTTTTTCTGAGAATGTAAAGCTTTACTAGGGAAGCACATGAGGAAATTGTGCCACGTGTGGAAGAGCCATCCATGGCAGGGCAAGGGCTGGTGAGYCTGCACCACCACGGGGAGCCCTTGAAGCCTGCATGGAAAAATCTAAAGAGGCAATGGATTTCTGGGCCAATGCTGCAGAAACAAGAAATTCAGGCAGGCTGGCATTGGGGTGTGTTTTCAATTAAACTTTAGGATCCTTTGCACTTTGTCCATCCCCCTGAACAAACATTTGAGAGCAGTGCTTGCTGTCCCAAAGTCAGAGTGATCTTCCAAGCTCACAAGAAAGAAATGTGCCCCTGAGGGATTTCCTGACCAGGATTATTCCAGCTTGAAGGACAAATCTGATTTCTGCTTTGATTTTCAGCCATCTCACCATGACAAACATCGGTGAGATGATTTGCTGCCCTGACCACTGATCACACCAGATCAGATTCAGAGATTCCAGTCTGTCCTTCTCAAGCTCAGCTCCTGTTATTGCCTGAAAGCAAAAACCTCTCCCAGCAAAAGAGTCTTACTCTGGAGGCTTCAGGA